AGTGGTTACTGGAAGTGTTCGCTACCCAGCTCTCCTAGCGAAGCCTTAGCGACCATTCGCTAGTGGCTCGCTAGGAGCTCGCCTAGCGAACCACTCGCTAGCTGCTCGCTTTGCGAGATCTGCGATCTCTCAAAACCCTCACTATCCAAAAATGTCACCTTGATCAATTCCAAGCCTATCATTCTTCATCTATCTTCTATCCTATTATTACTACAACTATTATACACTACTCTAATCATTTGCTCCTTAAATTTTCTCTTCAGCATCAATATTCATGTTCATCACCAATACCGCAAAAGTTACACAAAATCTCACCAAAATTACAACAATATATGCACAAAATTCATCATGGCAGCAACAATCAGAAACATATCAATATACCAATCGTGTTCATCAAATCCCTACGGGGTTAAGGAATTTCCACTACCAAATTCATGTAAACATCCCAATCCTAACCCATTCCTCCCCTCTTACCTCGATTAATTGATCTGATTGTTGAAGAATCCCGATTGACAGCCCTAGCATTGCTTCTCTCCTTCCTTATTCTTCCTCCTAAATCTTTTCTCTAAACTGGTTTATCGTGTCTGTTCCTCTTTTTCCCAAAAACCTCTCTAATACCCCTTAATCCCTTTTATTTACTTACTCTAATAATAATAATAATAATAATAATAATAATAATAATAATAATAATAATAATAATAATAATAATAATAATAATAATAATAATAATAATAATACTATTAATTATTAAATTATCACTACTATTAATTATATTATATTAATATCAAATTCTATAGTTATTAAATAATTCCCATGACTTAAGGGTACCCACCAACGCACTTAGACACACCCCCACACAAGGATACACCGAATAAATAAAATAACACCAAAAAGACTAAATAATTAAAAATGGGTGTTACAGAAGCTGTTGTCGAAGATGAGGAGACTGATAATGACTACCTACTATCAAGAGACAGGTCGAAAAGAGTCATCAAGCCACCTCAGAGACTTGATTATGCAGATCTCATAGCTTATGTCTTAATTTCTGCAAGTGAGGTCTTTGATGAAGAACCTAGAGATTATAAGGAAGTTATGAGGAGTCGAGACAAGACTGGATGACTGAAAGCCATGGATGATGAGATGAAATCTCTTCATGATAATAACACTTGGGAGCTGTTTGAGAAACCTACAGAAGCCAGGTTAGTCAGTCTTAAGTGGATTTTAAAGGTTAAGGAATAAATCGAAGGAGTGATGTCGTAACGCTTTAAGGCAAGGTTGGTTTCTAAAGGGTTCACTCAGAAAGAAGGTGTCGACTTTAATGATGTGTTCTTAACTGTCGTAAAGCATAAATTCATTAGAATGTTGTTAGCCATGATGGCAAAGTTCGGCCTAGAACTTGAACAAATGGATGTGAAGATAACCTCCTTGTATGGTGATCTAGAAGAAATGATCATGATGAGGCAATTTGAAAGGTATGTAGAAAAGGAAAATGAAGATCATGTGTGCAAGTTGAATAGGTATATGCATAGCCTGAAACAATCTCCTTGACAATGGAATAAAAGATTCGATAAGTTTGTGACACACATTTGTTTCACTACGAGCCAGTTCGACCACTGTGTTTACTTCATATTTCGACCTAGAAATTCACTTTTTATTTTGTTGATTTATGTGGATGACATCCTCATAGCAAGCAACAGTGTCAAAGATGTTATGAAAGTAAAGGTTGAACTCAATAATGAGTTTGACATGAAAGATTTGGGAGTTGTCTCTAGAATTCTTGGGATTGACATCCGAGATATAGAAAGTAGTCGAGATTATGCTTATCTCAAAAGACATACCTGAAGAAGATTCTCAACAAGTTTGGTATGTCGAATTCAATGGGTCTCTGAGAAGAGTCTTGATTTATGGTGGAGTCTGTGGTGATAATAGCAAATTCGAAATTGAAGGATTTGTCGACTCTGATTATGCAGGTTGTATGAATTCCAGAAAATCTATTTATGGATATGTGTTCACTATGTTTAGCACAATAATCAGTTAGAAAGTGACACTTCAGAAGGTTGTTTCCTTATCAACCACTGAAGCAGAAAATATTGCCCTCACTGAAGCTGTGAAAGAAGCATTGTGGCTTGAAGATTTTTCTAAGGAGATGAAACTTCAAGGTTGAGTTATCATTGTTAAATGTGATAGTCAAAGTGCAATAAACCTGTCGAAATATTCAGTCTGTCATGAGCGAACAAAGCACATCGATGTGAGGTTGCACTTTGTCAGAGAGATAATCGAGCATGGAGAAGTTCAAGTGCTGAAAGTTTCGAATGATGACAATACTGCTGATATGATCACCAAGACATTGTCGAGTAGTAAGTTTTTACATTGTATGCAGTTGATAAAGTTGCATGATGAAAGCTAGTTTGTTCCCTTGTTTTGTGTAGAGTTTGTTCCAAGGTGGAGATTTGTGGTATTTTTGGATCAAATTCTAGTGTCGACAAGGGTAGCTTCATGGTTTGAAAAAAGGTTTTGTATGAAGTTGAAGTCTGTTCACATACTGATCTTGTATGATGTAGTCAAAGTATGCTTAAGCATGCAGTAATCGAAATGCTAGATTGTTAGCGTGTCGAATTGGGTCTTGCTTGTAAGCCCAATTGTTAAGTTAGTTTGTAATCTAAGTTTACTTAGTAGTCTATAAATAGACTAGTTCTCTCAGGTTGTTGGGAGAGTTTAATTGTTGATATTCACTTATAATCTTTTAACCCTTATTGAAAAAGTGAATAGTAAAACAGATTTAACAAATTCTCTATTCTTCTTCCTTCTTCTCTTTTCCTTTGTGAAACCTAATAAAGTTTCTTGTGTTTGTTCAAGAAACTCAATCTTTATCTTATAACTTTGTTCCGTTATTAATTATATCATTTCACAACAAATATAATACAAAAAATTATTTTATATTGTGTACTATTCTTTATAATACTTACTATTTTGCGAATCAAACACATATAATAAATAAACATAATAAATAAACAAATGAAAATGTATTGAATTTTTCACAACCAAAAGATAATAATCAAAAAGTTAATTAACATATACAAAATGATTTCCTTAAACCGTCACAACCAAAAGATAATAACCAAAACATAATTAAACATATATAAAATGATATCCTTAAACTTGTTTCAAATTTTTGAAAGATCATATATAAGAAATAAAAATTACTTTTAATTGAATCTTATTTTTTTAAATAATTTTTTTTATTTAATTGTAAATTAATCGTAAAATATATATACGGTAACATTTTTATCCAAACCTATTCATAAAAAGTGTGAGGTTTGTACATCCTTAAAATGACTCTGAATTTTCATCATCCCATACAATCATCAACCTTGATTCAAGTCAATAAATATCATATACTTAAGAAAGAGTAATGGATAGAGCTAAATATCATACACTTAAGACAGAGTAATAGATACAGCGTGAAATAGACATGATTTATTGGGGGAATAAAAATGTTGAATCCATGATTTCTTTAATCCATTTTTATTTTATTTATTTTAATATTTTAATATTTTAAACAATAAATAACAAATAAAGAAAAAGAATAATGACACAGGTATTCTATTGGTCACATATATATTGTCACTTCATTAATAAATAGGACACTTACAGAAAATAATTTTAAAATGGGGTGGAGTCGAATTTCATTAAAAAAGTTTACAGTATAAAATCAAAAGTCTGATTTTATTTTTTAAAGAACCAAATTTTAATTTTTTTAGTTAAGGGTATAAAATTTTAGCAAAATTATTATTATATTAAAAAACAAATCTTGAACATCATTTAATTTAAGAGAAGTAGTACTTTAAAAGGTGATTAATTATGAAATTTTTTTTTTATACAAATTGATCTGACCTGATCAGGAGGGGATCACGGACTGGCCACACGTTGTTGGACTGCTGCTTGTTCACCTGTGATGAGAAGGAGAAGGGGGTGTACCTGCAAAACACTTCGATGCCAAATTGAGGAGTTGGGCAGAGCGAGAGCAAAGTACAGAAAGTGGTAGAAGAATGAAATTACCTGACCCTCCTGAGGAAGAGGGTATTTATAGAGAGACCCCAACGCTGGGCCAACGGTCATTTGAGGTGGGCTGGATGACCAGACTCAACCCTAATGACTGCTAGGGCTTACGTGGCGTAGTGAAGACTGGAACGTGGTCTTCGCCCTAGTCCAACTATCACGTGATCTCCGAAAAGTGGGTTTGACCTGCTCTTTCGGAGGTGGGCAGTTGGGAGATGACGTGTCCCCGCGGAGGGGAGCACGTGGAGAACGTGCGCCGGGCACGTTGTTCTCCCCGCGGAGGGGAGCTCGGGAGGCTCTCCGGAGGCACGATGTTCTCTACGAGAGGAACGCGAGGGTGTGGAGGAACCAAAGGTCTTGCTCGACGGACCGGGGTGTGCCCTGTCCGGCCGACAAGAGAGGATGTTGAGATGTCGTCGGACGCGTCGTCTATCCTCGGGGGAGCGTGCCCTGCCCGTCCTATGGGGCGCGTGTGCCCGGTTGGATCAGTTCACTTACTGGGTCATGTGTGGTATTGGGCTGGACCGAGGTTGGGCCCAGACCAGAACACAAATGTTTAAGAAAGAACTTTCAAATTCTGACACTATAATTTTAAAGAGTAATGTTATTTTTACCCTAAATTTTAACACTTATACCGTATAATCATACGGTTTTGTATTTTTTTAATATTTAATTATTATTGTAACTCTTGGATGTATGTGTTTTAGTGTCAAAATAGCAAATTTCAATTTTAAAACATGAACTTCTCTTTTTTTTCGCGGTTAATATTCGTTTCATTAGATCAATTAATCTGATTCAATGGTCAGTTATGACATCAAATGATTTCAAATTTTTCTTAATCTCAATTATGAGAAATTGATTGGTTGAACCTCTCATTCTACCCGGTATTGATTTTTACTATGACATCTCTCACATTTACAAAGGATATACATTATGTTAGCCTAAAGAGCTAGCATATTAAGAAACAACACTCTATTTTTCACCAAACATCTAAATAAACAATCTAACCCACCTTCCAAACTATCAACATTATCATTCAATCTCTCTAACAATCTTAATACCCTTTGACTTTCACTATTAGAATAATCACTATTTTTCTCTCTTCCAACAAGAGAACACAAAGCATTGTTGAGATCTTCAACCTCATTTTTGTTCTTCCCTTCTTTCTCATAAGAAAACAAAGGCTTCAACTTCGAAATCAATGACGAGCCTTTTGTTCCAAATGCTGCCATAGACACAAAAAGTAGCACAGAACATAATATAGATATAGTGATTGAATTTGCTTCTCTTAAAACTCTAACCAAAAATGCTAATTGTTGATCTTGATCGGATAGAGAAAATGAGTTAACTTTGTTCTGCATTTTCTTTAGCTCCAAAAGTTGGTTTGAAACTTTCTTCTTTGCTTTCTTTCTGAAACTTTCATAACAAGAAACACTGTTTTCAATACTTGAATCACCTTTTCTTCTTCTACGTATTGCTGATTGAAGTGTTTGCATGTGTTCTCTAAAAACAAACAATAAATCTCTCGAACACTCGCAAGCGTCTAGCAATGTGACTGAGTAACACAGAGAATCTGATATGAGTTTTCCATCTTGGTAGCGTAGAAGACATTGTTTGGTTTGTTGAGAATTGAAGAGTTCTTCTATGGAATTGTAAATCCTTGCAAGCTCCACTAAGTCACTTTGAATTTTGTTTGCTTCCAAATGAATGTTGTTTGAGAGAAAGTGTTGATGATGGTGCTTTAGGTTGTTTAGAAGTGATTCAGTTGTTTGAGAAGAAGGGTTTCCTCTTGTGGGAAAACTAATGGACCTTATTGGTTGATGTGTATAGGGAAGTTTTGAAATGGCTTCCATTTTTTTTTCTCTTTGTTGTTTGTTAGAAAGAATAGTGTTGCTATAAGATAAGATTATGTTTGAGTGACAACTAGCTTTTGTTCAATCTTATTTATAGGAACATGGTTAGGGGGCCTAAATATGGTACCATATTTTATTGAGTCAATAACTTCATCTTTTAAATTACGTTGCGGTGGCACACTTAAAATCTCGATCTGTCTTGAAAAAAAATAGGGTAAAGCGGATTCGTAGACACTGCATTTTTTTTATGTTTAAAAGTTTTAAAAATTTATGTTAATATTTGTGTATGCAAAAGTCCATTAAAAACAGATGCAATAAGACAGACTTATTAGAATGTACGGATCAAAATTTTATTATATTATAAAAAAATTTATACAGATAAAATAAATATATTCGAAGATTCAGACTTGTTTTACCACTTTAAATAAGATCCAAAATCCTTGGACAAATTCTAGTACGTCTATTAAGATATTTTGTGAACGTGAATGAATTTGAAGTATCATATGTTTACATGTGATGGCAAGTTGCGTCGGCTATATTTCATATGGCTTTCTGACAACTTATGCTAACAAGTCGGTAGCTGAAGTCCATTTATTAATCCATGGCCATAACATGAGCAACGTAGGTTTCACAAAATTGTTGGCAAACATATGAGAACGTAAACATCGTATACAGAACAATGTTGGTGTTTGTTCTCCTGCTATGCATCAATAATTTCCATCATCACAACTCAACCATATAAGATATCTCAAAAATTATCACGTCAATTCATGTCTTACTACAAAGTGTTTAATTAAATAATTGCTGGATTAAATAATTCAATAGGGCTAAGAAAATGTAATGGTTGTAGCTTAAAGGGTGGCAATGAACTAAGATATTTTTGATTTCTTATATCATGGAAATTGATGTGATAGAATAATAAAAACATGAGGCAGGTAATTTCTGTCACTTTGGTTTGGTAGGGCCTACGTATAGGAATCACATGTTGATTTGGACAAATAACTGTTTTTTTTTCATTTGTTTTGTTCTTCGTTATGCATTTGCAGAGTAAACAATAACATTACATTTCAAGATCAATGTATCAAGCATCAGATTCTATGACAGGCTTGTGATAGTTAAGGTTGCACGTTTTTCTATCAAAATGTTCGCATCTATTTTTGTAACTATAAATAATTAAAGAAAACACTGAATAGTTGTAATATACAAAATTCTTTAAAAAATTATATTTTTAGTGCCAATTTTTTGATCGACGCCAAGTCTGCGTCACTGCAACCATGAGATATCATTTTTTTTTTAATTGAGAATCCTTACGATTATGTTCATTATAAAAGACATCTTGTTGAATTGAGGTGTATGGACGATGTATATAAACTACTCTTAATTTCGATTTTCAAATAATATAGAATTAGTTTGGTCAGTCTAAACATTTACCACTCGTTAGAGGCTAAAGGGCACAATGCAGACTTTGAGTTCCTACAAACGGGAGGGATCATTGTTTTGGATGAGAATTTGAGACAACAGGGTAGCAATTCACCACAGTAGATTTGAGCTTTTGTTACGATGGATAAAAAGTTGACATGCAAGGATAACACTTCAATCTACAAATCAATAAAAAATAATAATAAATAGAGTGTGAATGTGGTGTTTGAATCATACTTTTTTTCATACTCAATTCTTTATATATGGGAGTTGATTTAGACATCTCAAATTTGGATTAGATGTAGGTTTTTTTCTCGTTAAACATTTAGTTGGTCCAAAATATAAATATACCAATAAAACTAATGACAGATTCAAAAAGAATTAGTTGTGGAGGCTAAAAACTAATGATGTATTTTAATTAAAGTGTCAAACGATCGACCACCAGTGAGTCATATGAAGGTGTTTGGATCTATTTGTTAATGGCATGTTCCTGATGTAAGAAGAAGAAAACTTTATGATAAGAGTGAACCTATGATTCTGGTAGGATATCATAAGGCTGGAGCATATTAGTTATTCAATCTAATGAATAACAAAATTATGATGAGTTGAGATATTTTGATTGATGAAAATTCTTTCTGAGATTGAAATTAAAGTGATGCGACTAATAAACCATTTATAGGCTATGAAGTTGATGAAGAAAGTAGTGAGCGCGAAAAAATTCAAATTAATGGCACTCCGGTAATAGTTGAAGTTGAAGATGATAATAGATTCGAAGACAAAGCAGATAATCGAGAGGGTGTGGCTAGCACGAGACAAATATCTCAAAGAACCATATTTCCTCCAGCAAGGCTTCAAAACTATGAAGTAGTTGGTGATGATGAAGTCGCACCAGAAGGAGATTTGGTTCATTTCGCTTTACTTGCAGGTGTTGAACCAATCAACTATAGCAAGACCTTCAAATATAAACAATGGAAGAAAGCTAAGGTTGAAGAGTTACAAGCGATCGAAAGAAATAATACATGGGAGCTAGTCAAATTGCCAACACATAAAAAAGCTATCGGAGTGAAGTAGGTGTTCAAGTTGAAGCATAATGTTGATGGGTCGATAGAAAGACATAAGGCAAGATTAGTATCTCAATGATTTCATTAGCGAGCAAAACTCTACTACTCTGAAGTATATGCCACAATAGCAAGATTGGAGACTGTTTGATAGGTGACGGCCTTGGCATGTAAGCAAGGTTGGTCGATATTTCACTTAAATAAGAAATCATCATTTTTTTTAATGTTCTTCTAGATGAAGACGTATATGTCACACAACCTTCTAGATTTGTGATACAGGAGGAAACAAAGAAAGTATACAGGCTACACAAAGCGCTCCATGGACTCAAGCAGACACCTAGGGCATGGAACAAGAAGATCGACTTATACTTGGTCGAATTGAGATTCATTAAATACAAACCTTAGTATGATGTCTATGTTTAGGTTGTGGAAAAAGATATAACAATCATCTGCTTATATGTCGATGACTTGTTAATAATTGGAAATTGTTTGGAGAACTTGTCAAAGTTAAAAGAGTTGATGAAGAAGGAATTTGAAATGTCAGATCTAGGAAATTTCTCGTACTTCCTATGCATGGAATTTCAAATTTTTGAAACAAGATGTGTTGCTACATCAAAGAAAGTATGTCAAAGAGATACTCAAGAGATTCGGGATGGAAGACTCGAATCTTGCATCCTCATCTGTCGAACCAAATTTGAAGGAAAACAAAGTCAAAGTTGTAACGCCCCATATTGCTTTCAGGATTACTGACTGACCCCACAAACCAACACTTGTCTTTTCAGCATGCTTTGTCCTCAATCACATGCTTTCCAGGAAACTTCCCAGAAGGTCACCCATCCCAGAATTGCTCCAAGTTAAGCACGTTTAACTGTGGAGTTCTTATGAACGGGCTACCGAAAAGAAGATGCATCTTATTGGTATAGGTAGTACCAATTAATCCTTATAAGCATGCATTAACCATGCAGTCTCATACCTGCATAGCATCAGGATCCCTCTCATTCGGATGTGAATTCGGTTTTCCCCTAGAAGCTGCTAGGAGTGTCTCATTGTCATGTCTCATGGCACCGACAACCACAAACCAACACTTGTCTTTTCAGCATGCTTTGTCCTCAATCACATGCTTTCCAGGAAACTTCCCAGAAGGTCACCCATCCCAGAATTGCTCCAAGTTAAGCACGTTTAACTGTGGAGTTCTTATGAACGGGCTACCGAAAAGAAGATGCATCTTATTGGTATAGGTAGTACCAATTAATCCTTATAAGCATTCATTAACCATGCAGTCTCATACCTGCATAGCATCAGGATCCCTCTCATTCGGATGTGAATTCGGTTTTCCCCTAGAAGGGGCTAGGAGTGTCTCATTGTCATGTTTCATGACACCGACAACCACTCCCTCGCCCACGGGTGTTACATGTAACCACCGTCCTCTTTCACCTCAGGTGTTACATGTCCACCAGCTTCCGCTTGGTTCGTTCCCGAACCACATCGTACTGGGAGAGGTATGACTCTGATACCATTTGTAACGCCTCATATTGCTTTCAGGATTACCGACTAACCCCACAAACCAACACTGGTCTTTTCAGCATGCTTTGTCCTCAATCACATGCTTTCCAGGAAACTTCCCAGAAGGTCACCCATCCCAGAATTGCTCTAAGTCAAGCACGCTTAATTGTGGAGTTCTTATGAACGGGCTACCGAAAAGAAGATGCATCTTATTGGTATAGGTAGTACCAATTAATCTTTATAAGCCTTCATTCAACCATGCAGTCCCATACCTGTATAGCATCAGGATCCCTCTCATTTCGGATGTGAATTCGGTTTTCCCCTAGAAGCTTCTAGGAGTGTCTCATTGTCATGCCTCATGACACCGACAACCACTCTCTCGCCCACGGGTGTTACATGTAACCACCGTCCTCTTTCACCTCAGGTGTTACAAAAGTCACTTTGTTCAAATAAATTTTCAAATCTCTGAGGTATGTGTGCAACATTCGACCAGATATAAGTTTCTCAATCGAATTAGTTATCAGATACATGAGTGAACTAAGGGTGTCACACATGAAGGTTGCAAGAAGAATCCTGAGATACTTAAAAGGATCTACAAATTATAGAATTCTATTTTCATAAGAATCTGAAAGTAAAGAAGCTAAGATCACTTTCTATTTAGATGTTGATTAGTGTGGTGATAAGAAAGATCGAAAATGCACGACTGGTTACTTATTTCAAGTATTTGGTGCTTCAATCTCATGGTGCTCAAGAAACCAACATGTGGTGGCATTATCATTTATGTGAGGTTGAATATATAGCAAAATCATACAGTGTTTGTTAAGCAATTTGGATCAGATTTGTGATCGAAGAGATTGAGCTTAAAGTGAAGAAATCTCTAGTGTTACAGATCGACAACAAGTCAACCATTAATCTTGCAAAGAATCCAGTTATGCATGGAAGGGGTAAGCACGTTGAGGCTAGGTTTCATTTTCTAAGGGATAAGGTAAACCAAGGTTAACTTGAAGTGAGGTATTGCTC